CTATCCATAAGACTTGTTATATAGCTAGATCGAGTTCTCCATTGAGATTGCCTAGATGAATAAATATAAGGAGAACTCATGTTAGATAAAGAGGAATATCTGAACAATATTTGTATGGTGTATTTTATTTGTAAGATTAAATATACACCCTAAGAACCAATAAGAAATGAAAGAATTGATCACTGCTTCTTAATTGTGTAAGTCTCAGAGACACATATGGCCGCACTTATATACCCTTATGACTTTTGACTGTTTCTCAAAATTTTATTTAGGTGTTGCTACTTTAGCATTTTACCAATAACTATGGTTAATTCGATTTGTTGGAGCATGTCTAGAAAAGCAGCTGACTTGAAATGAAAGGATTCAAGTAGGAAATGACGACTATTTTATCTAACATCTTAGCTTGTATTCATCGGCCGGACAATTGTGTTTATTATTTGAGTTTTGTGACACAATTGTGAATACAATAAAAATGAGAAAGTTGAATATATTCTAAAATAAATTGAGGGATAAGAAATATGTCTAAGATATAGTGAGAAATATATTTCCTTTTCTAGAGTTGCTACATATCTCTAACAGTGTATGTGTTGTGTGCTCTTAAATTAACAAGCTGGTCACACAATCATTTAACTGTATGAAGTTAGAGATGTTGAGATAAATATAATTGATATTGTATTAGAATCAAGTCAAGTCCATCATGTGCGAGTGAGAGATGTTGTAAATAAATAAATAAAAAAATTTGCCCATATGGGTTGACCCGACCCGAATTATCTAAGAGTGAGGGAGAAGTTGAGGAAGTTGAGAAAATTGAATTTTAAACTCAACTTCCTATAATCCACAAGTACCATATACAACTTCCACATCAAAGAACATAAAAAAATGCATACAAAATTCATATGGTAAATAAAAGAAAGAAAAATACTTGAGGGTGGTGGCTTGATTTTAGAAGTATATCATCTCAAATTGGATTCTTGGATTGTGGTTATCAAATTCTTTCCTTTTATTTAATTTTCGACCAAGGAATAAGTACAAAACAGTGTAGAAGACAACTATTTAAAGCTAAAAATCAACTAATTTAGGTTAACGAGACAAAATATCAATCAATCATGACTTAGGAAGATATTACTAAATCAGGAATATGTACTAATATATACTGACATACTTTTTGAATATTCCGTGATTTTTAATTTTTTTTTTTTAAAAAGTCTTGATTTATTAGCCCAAAAATTTTAAAGGCTTTCACAAGTCCATATTAAGCCCTTGTTTGACATAGATTAAAATTAAATTTTTAGTAAATCTTAATAAAAGTTTATGAAATGGGTGGTTGAAAAGTTATGAAACTCATAAAAGATGTGGTTAATATTAATTATTTGATTTTGACTTAAATTAAAATTTGATTTAAATCAATACCAAAAAGGGACTAAACATTGAGGCTTTTATTAAGCATTAAAAATTATATATTAAATACACCTAAATATTTTTAATCTATAAAGTGTTTTGAAATGCAAGTTGAATACACAATAATTTTTCTGTTGACTTTAGGATTATTTAAAAGTTAGGATAAGAAGAATTGAAGTAGATGAAATTCGTTGGCATGAAACATGACAAAATCGAAATTCAAAACTGAAGCAATTATTCCAGCCACCCAAGCTATGACAACAACATGAATATTCATTTGGTTGGCTCTTTTCTGGAGTCTAACCATAAATTTCAAATAATGTTGCATTATCACAAGCATTGATACTACTGCTATATAAATTGTGCTAAGGCCTTTACTCATAAATTTCAAAGCTACCTTACAATAACAAGACGATATTGGAATTAATTGGATCAAAGCATTAAACATGAATTATTTAAAGTAGTAGGCTATTACAATTAATTTGGAAAATTGAAAAAATCTCCAATAAAAAGCCTATAGGATGTTAAGGCCTATTAGAATATTATAAGTGCATAAAGAGAAGAATTTAATTCCACATTGAAAGATTACACTTGTTCACGTGGTGTGACTTTTTGAGATAGTGATTTAATACTACTAGTGCCTTGGGCTAGCTTTACCTAGCCGCCCATGCCCCCGTGTGTGACGCATGGCCCGCACATGTTACAAAGGACATATTAGGTGCTTTAGAGTTGCATTTGTACATATAAGCATCGACACAAGGAGCTAAAGAGCCTTTTAGTTTTCAAAAATGTAACATGGTTTAAAGACGTGACATAATGAGTTGACACTTACGTGGCAGTGATGATTGGACATCTAATCATCGCACGTGATGTCTGGAATTCCCTCCAGGTTATTTACTTTATCGTTGTCGGAACGTGAGAATCTCTTTTCTTTGTTTGAGGCCAACAAAATGCTCAATCCACGTCCAAAAAATAAAAATAAAGACTTATCTAGGCCTTTGAATATAGAAGTTTATTAGGAGCAGTTTTATGAACTATAGCTTAATCTCTTACAGGTTTTGTTCGTTAGGTAAAACACAGTGATTGAACGTGAAATTAAAAGAAATGAATGAAAATCGGTGAAAAAGGAGGATATGCAAGGTTCAATGGACTAAATTGTAAATATTCAGTAGTTGATTCAAACTACAAAATTGTTGACCCCAAAAAGTGTTGCTAACAGATGTCGGACCCACCCGCGCACATGTGAGCGAAAGTCCAACACGCTAAGACACGTGGACGGTCTAAAACGGACGGATCGAGGATGTGGGAGTAGCTCAGCGGCGCGGGACAAGGACGTTCGAAATCACACGGGATGTTCGTTGACCGATTGTACAATAATTACCGATCGATGTTTGTAAACGTGTATCCAAATATGTATGAACTCGTTTATATTGCAAGATAATAAGAAAGAGAGAGTTGAGTAAAGTATGATTTCTTATATTGATTCTTGCATTAGCCTTTGTATGGGGTATAGGGAGAGTATTTATAGTGTCACAAGTTAGATCGTGACCTTTGTTTCGAGGTACACGTGGCCTCATCCGGTTAATTTACATGTCAAATTGTAGGCATCAGCCGCACTTGGCCTGCTATACATTTATTGATTGGCAGAGCCGCCTCTACTAATGACAAGACTTAACATTACACTCATGACAAACATCCTATCAATCATTCAAGTAAGATTTTTGTGTAGACGATCTATTGGGAGAAGCGTCTATGGAAGATGCTGCTTTGTGATTCGGAGGCTGCTACATTGGCTACAGAGTTTCGGCCAATAGGGTCTCGTCCACCTTCAAAAGGTCTCGGCATATGGGTTTCGAAAGCTCCTCAAGAGGCAATGATAAATGGGCCTCAGTATATATGGGCCTAGGCTTCTGTGGACCTCGATTTGTGGGCATCAGCTTCAGTGCCACGTGGTTCGACATGAGCTGACAGTGGGCCCCGGTGGGTTGCCCAAGTGTGCAAACACGTAACAGTAGTCCCCCAAGTTATGAGATTTCTAAGGTAATTCGAGAGAAGGAATAAGAATTTGACATGTTATAACAATTTTTGTGAGGTTCGACAAAGAATAGAGAGAGACCCATATGCCTTGAATGATCTTAATAGATGTTCTATAGTTTAAATATTTGCTTTCATGTTCGCATTTTTCATAAAAATATAGGAAGATCACATGAGAGGGCATATTTAATTCTGTTCGAAAGATTATTAAATAATTTAGGAACATTGATTGATAAGAATGAATATATATTATCATGATATTGATTTGCATTAAATTGAAATAATAAGGGGATTCAAAATCTTAGTAAGCATTCAACCTAATTTTACAAAAAAAAAATTCACAATTTTCTCATTAGAATATTTAGTTTAAATAATTAATTAGTGTAAATTCTTTATACAAAATCTGCTATTCAATAGAGTTAGTATTATTGATCCTAGACTAAATGAATAGTTCTCGTGTGACGATATCTTATTTATTATTATATTAATTTTCCACGATACGATACATTTGTGTGGGATTTCGTATAATCAGTTTGAATGGAAAAAACGTGTGAAGATTGTATGCATTCGTTCCTATGCAATGGGTGTATGTTAAGAGTCATGGACCATTGTAATACATATCCCACAATTTGAAGTCGTGTGATCTAAGGGCTCAGATTCAGACCAAATCAAAAGATGTATCCATTCTCAAGAGACTTAAAATTCTATTTAAAGGGAACCCTTATTCCATAATTCACACACCAAAATAATTGCAAAGTTCGGCTGATGTTTAAATATTCGCTCTCTATAAAATTTTCTCCGAATTGATTTTGTAGAAATAAAGTTCTATCCAAATTTTTGTAACGAAAACATTGTGTCGAGCAATTTGATGTTCGTATTTTATTTCATTCAAGAAGAGTATTTGTCATTATTGGTTTGATCGATAATGCTGGTGTAATGGAATATCGACTTTGAAAAAAACGTTGTATATTAAGAGATTAACATTCGATAAATTTTGTTGGCATTAGTGTAGGGATGAAATCTGTTTTAAAGGGATTTGTTTCAACATATCTCACCTCATCTCTCTCTTTTCTTTTTTCTTTTCTTTTTTTCTTTCTTTCTTTCTTTAAATTGTATGGTTCATTAATTTGACAACAGAAGTTGCCGCACGTGTCATACATAAGGCCACATAAGCAATCAAAACACGTGCCTGCCTCAAGCATACCTGTACTCCTGACCCTTCCAATGGTCCCTAACACACGTCGGCATATTATATTTGCCATATTGCTTAGTCACCATATATTAAACTGAATGCAGGGCCGTTCCATGCCATAACCCTTGGCGTCTACTTGTTATCAAGATTCAAGGCGTGACTATAGTATAATATACATTGAGTCAAACTGAAGCACATGATTTCAAAAATTTCTATATATATATCGGCACCAAGGTATTGGAAAACCAAACAAATCAAACAGCCAGCAAGGAGTTCGAGAGATCGAGAGAGAGAGAGAGTCAATGGCTTCCAAACTCTTGAAAATCATCTGCATCTTCTTCTTGATTTCCATGCTCTCAGTACAAGTCCTCTCAGTAGTGGAAGAATGCGGTGACGAAGAAGACGACAGCTGCATAGACAAGAAGAAAGCTTTGCCACTCAAAATTATAGCCATTGTATCCATTCTCGTCACGAGCATGATCGGGGTGAGTTTACCCCTCGTCACACGCTCGATTCCGGCCCTCAGTCCGGAAGGAAACCTTTTCGTGATTGTTAAGTGTTTCGCCGGAGGTATCATTTTGGGTACTGGGTTCATGCATGTTTTACCGGATTCATTCGACATGTTGTCGTCCAGCTGCTTGAAGGAAAATCCATGGCATAAGTTCCCTTTCACCGGATTTGTAGCCATGTTGTCTGCCATAGTTACATTAATGGTAGACTCGATGGCAATCAGTGTCTATTCTAAGAAAAACAAAGCTGGAGTTCTACCTGAGTCTCAAGGAGATCAAGAAATGGCAGTAGTGCACACTGGGCATTCTCATGGTCACCACCACCATGGATCCAAACTTGATGTTGAGGGCCCACAACTTCTTCGTTACCGCGTAATTGCTATGGTTAGTCATTTTCTAAATCAATATTATTGTTACGTAAAAACTAGAATAGACAATATAAAAAAAAAAAAAAAAAAAAATTAAGAATACTAAAATTTACATGAAAACTCTAGATGGGACAAAAATTCGGGTAGAGTAGGAGAAATCTACCATATGTACATATGGGTGTGAGAATAATAGAATAGGTCATCGAACCCTTCACTACCACCACAGACCCCCAAAAGTTCTCATAATCTTGATATGAACACATATGTCACACTGCAAATTTTTCGGGTCAGTCCAAACAGAATTTGGATTACCGTAATCCAACAATTATATATTTATTTATTTATACATATATTTAGAGTTTTTCATTTGTTTAACCAATGCATGCAGCATGCATTAATTTATACATCAAGAATTATTTTAAGTCAAGCCAATAATGATGCTAAATTATATAATCAAATAAATGGAAACGAAACTGCCAAGTTCTTGTTTACCATTTGAAAACACTTGCTTGATGACGGCACAAGAGGTGATCAGTTTATTATTAAATTAATTTTTCCTGCCCTTTCAACATTAATTAAACAGAGGGTTAGAAAAGGATAAGATTATTATATGTTCTATTATTATAATTTGCCTGTGGATATTTTACAGACACCTTGTTCTATTTATTACAGTATTGTCTCTTAATGCTTAAGTAATTTGGGTGGGGTCTTTGACGAAATTTCTTAGGGAATAAATAAATTAAGTGAAGTATGTGCTCGTCAAAAAAATTACATCAATAATAACAAAATGATATCATTGTTGGTGATTGTTACGCAAGTTAATATTATACCACGATTCGAAGAAAGTTATTCATGGTAATATAATCAGTTATTACACGTGACAACAACAATCACAATAGAGTTTCAGGTCGTGGATGTCATCGACATCTCCGATAGTGCTTCAGCTGTCGATCAATGATGGAGAAGCTTTTGTTTTTAATAATTTACTCAATGATTTGAGATATTATATTATACATTATCTATAATCTTACCAATACATAAGTTACTTTTATTACGATTGGTGATTGGTGATTCTAATTAAATAAATATTTGTTGATGATTTAAGAAAAAAAATAGTTGACATCAATACAGTGGGTTATCGTTGATGCACCTTCCTTAGCGATTATTGATGACAATGTGCTCCATGATGCAATCATCGTTGGTGCTTAGCATCTTTATCTGAGAAATCGTTGGTATCTTAATATATCTCCAATTTTAGTTATTTAATAATCTATTAACGATATATTTCATTAGTCTACAAGTTGAAATACATATCATTTGTTACAAATGATAATCTATTTTTCTTAATTTATTTGTGTTATGTATAGAACACATTTTTTTTTTATAATTATACAATAAAATAATTAATACTAGCAAGATGAAAATATTTTGGCAGGTTTTGGAGTTGGGAATCATTGTTCATTCAATAGTGATAGGGCTCTCTCTTGGAGCCTCCAACAACATTTGCACTATCAAAGGACTTGTAGCTGCACTTTGCTTCCACCAAATGTTTGAAGGAATGGGACTTGGTGGTTGCATTCTCCAGGTTAATCATACATAAATCATTTTCCTAAATGTCATCAGAAAAAAAGTAGAAAATAATTGCTTATTTCAAGATTTAGTCACTTTCTTAGTGTCGTTGTTCTACTATCAATGCTCTTATGTATTAATGAATTTGAAAATGTATGCAGGCAGAGTACAAGTTTATGAAGAAGGCTATAATGGCCTTCTTCTTTTCAGTAACAACTCCATTTGGGATCGCACTTGGAATGGCACTGTCGACTACTTACAAAGAAAACAGCCCTCGTGCTTTGGTCACTGTTGGTTTGCTTAATGCCTCGTCAGCTGGCCTTTTGGTTTATATGGCTTTGGTGGATCTTCTTGCAGCAGATTTCATGGGACCAAAGTTACAGGGTAGAATCAGGCTGCAAATCAAATCGTATATAGCTGTTCTGTTGGGTGCTGGAGGAATGTCTCTGATGGCCAAATGGGCTTAGAAATAATCAATTATTGGGTTATATTATCCATTATAATTTGCATGGACATGGAGAAATATAGAGATAATTTCTATTTCATTTTTTAATTTTAATGGTATTAATCCAACATGTTATCATAAAACAATATTGCAACAATTTTATTCTAAAGGTTATGGAGGACATTAATAATTTTACATAAGAACATAAATATAATAGAACGTTGGAGCTTGACACAATGAAAATGGTTAAAGACGACAATAAAAACAATGAAGCGAAATTTCAAAATACCAAAGATATATTATATTCATTCCATGATATCTGATGAAGTAATACCAAAATCGATATGGTGTTCGAAATAGAAGAAGAACCTTATAATTTTTAAAACGCTTCTGTTTTGTCCAATGGTAGACGCACATGACCCTAACACTTGGATTGAAAGGAAAATTGGAAGTCTCGTTCAAATGGCAGAAACACAATCTTTGGCACAACCTCGAACATAGACGCCATTTAAGTGCGCGCATTTTGACATAATCAAATCAACATGATCTTCCATAAAAACCCATGCATGTACATAACAGATTGCATGGCAAGCATGAGAACTTGGACTTAGAAATGATTTTCACCATAATGATGAGTATGTCAACTTACAAAATGACCAAAAAAATCCTTAAAAATCATCTTATAAAAATGGTTGAAAATATAAAAGGGTATAAAAAACTAGAGGAAGAAAAATATTAGAGATCCAACTACTCTCTATAAAATTCGTCTTGGATCAGTGCAAAAAATAGGATCGACACTCTGAAAATGTTAACATTCTCCATTGAAGTTGCCTTTTCAGAATAGAGCTCCATCGAAAATTTGCTTTTTCTTCTTTCAAACAGAAAGTTCATCCTAGTAACACACACACACACACAAAATAAAAATAACAATAATAATAATAATAATGAAAAGAACCCAAAAAAGGGATGCAAAACCTGTCAACATTCTGGCAGAAAACCTTAATGATAACATTAAAAAATAATTTCTATCTTTTCAGGTCAACAACAGATAATTTGTCTTATTGTTAAACACCATTATGCCAAACAACAAGGTTTGTTTGTCTTACAAGAGAGAATGTAAATTATCGCCAAACACGTAAACATCATGTTGTCGAGTCTAAGCCTCAACGGGAGTCCTTCTTATTGCTTTGTTGATATCAACTTGTAATTGAAGATTATCATAAACAAGTGATAAAGTGATAAATAGAGTGTTGAACCAACGAAAACTGATTAACTACTTATGAAATTAGAATTAGCTCTGATTTGGAAAACACACAATTAAAGATTATGAGTCTAATTTGGATTATTATAATTATCAACTAAAATAAACAAATTAAAATGTAAGCAAGTCTTAGACGAATTCACTATTGTTAATTTATTTTAACCCTCAATTACCCCATTACAGGCAATAATTACTTTATGTTGAGAATCGAATTCATCATATGCTATTTTCTTTCTAGAGATATAGTTGTAAATCTCCTTTCATGATATAGTTGTGCAACAACTCAAAGACATTGGAATAGTGTATATTCTTCATTACCTAAGAGGTACTATTAACATAAAATTATTTCTAATCAAAAAAATTGAGATATATTCTTTTGTGGGATATACAGATGTAGATGATATGTTTTTACAAGTGGGGAAACAACAATATAATGGAGATTTGTGAATCAAACCTTGACCACATCCTTTTTAAATCATTCAAAATTATTGCAATCCATAAAATAAGTCAAGAATGTGTATGATTGAGAAACATGAGCCATCATATCCAAGCATAATGTAGATTAACTTGAAATAGTATAACCTCCCACAATATTGTATGAAGACAATACAACTTATATTACACGACTCGAATAAGATTATTCCAAATTGAATAAGACAAAAAAATATTTTCCCAAAATTCTTCCATACACATGAGTTTTGTGATATCGATCTTCAATAGATTTACTCAAGTGATAATATGATTGATGTTAAGATTTGAGGTTCCATCTTAAAAGGTCAACCTTGTTAAGAGGAGTAGTTCAAGACCTTATAAGTTAGTCTATGTTTTCATCCTTATTCGATGTATAATTATATCTTTTAACATGCCCTCACGAGATGGTGTCTCGTTTGAATAGATCAATTTTGAAATTTCTATGCTTATTTATTAAGTTTAAATCGGATCGAATCGTTCGTTAGAGCTTAATGGGCTCTGTTATCATGTTAAGACTTGGGGTTTCATCTTAAAAGATCAACATTGTTAAGAGAAATGCCCAAAACCTTATAAGTTGGTCTATATTTTCACACTTCTTCGATGTGAAATTATATCCCTTAATAATTGATTCATTCACAAAAGCAGTGAATGTCTATATTCGAGAAATTGGTAGATGAGATTGGAATATGTTGCCCAAAAAATCTTAGTGATCAACATCATGAGAGTATTTATACTCTTTTTCTTTTATCGAAATTTTGCCCCATTGAAATTAGGCAACACGTTGATGCCCTAAATTCTTTTATAATTAGCTGCACTATTTTTTCTTAATTTGATTAAAAAAATCCTCTTGATCATTTCTCAAAATAAAATTTTGAATGAGACAATGTTGTAAATAAATTATTATAAAAAAGACTAATGTATCCATGCAGTCATAATTCTTACTTAAAAATATGGAACTTTGGTTTTCAATAAACTACATGTATACTATCTTTATTTTCTTCCCTTTTTCTCTCCAATTTAAGACAATTAATACTAGGCTTTACCCAAATAGATTATGCCATTTGTTGTCTCTCTTTTCTCTTTATTTACTATTATGTTTATTGACTTTAATCCCCCACCATACAATGGGAAAATGCTAATTGCAGACTCTTTTCTCCTTGTTACAACTCAAGACCCAATGTTCGACTCCAAAAATTACAGAACACAAACGACACATTAGCATCAAGTTCTTATCGATTTGGGCTCAGAACAAACATTGTACCAGTTTGTACAATGTGAATGGTTCACAAACCACAACCCTAAGACACAAAACAGAGGCAACTACTTTAGTGGACCCAGATCTCTCCAAGAAACCAAAAATACCTTTTCAAAGTAAGAATGAAAAATCACAGAGACTATATATACAAAATTCACCAGATAATCAGAGGTTTTTGGCTAAACAACAAGAATCACAAAGAAGAAGAAAGAGCAAAGACACAAAGTTGTAAAAGAGAGAGAACCAGAAGCTTCCCCAAGACACACACAAAGAGTTACAAGAATAATGGGGTAAA